AAAGCCTCAAATGCTCAGGATGACAGCAGAGGCGTAATAATAAAATATGTGCATACAAAATGAAAATATAGGACAAAACTGCTACCTCTCAAAGGAATGCATTTGTGGTAGAAGCTTGTTGAGTGCTCTCAATTTCCTTATTTCAATCATACAAGACCATACTTCTCATCCTTCTGACAGATACACTGGAATATGTCTTTGATTTCCAGCCAAGGGCATCAAGTGATATGCATCACTTCCAGACTTAACCAGATATCTCCATGGTCACCCACTCATTCTTTCCCTTATGTTATCTGATAAACTCAGATGTCCTTTGTTTAAGACAATAGTCCCAAGAGATGGAAGGAGTAGGGATCCTGCCATTCATTGTTGGAGAGTCAAATGACCTTTATCAGAGTAAGTCTTGAGCAAAAGCAAAGCTCAATTATGCTAAGCCATTAAAATTTCTGAGTTGATAGAGGGTATCATGCTTAGCGAAATAAGTCAATTGGAGAAAGACAACTATCATATGATCTCCCTGATATGAGGGAGAGGAGATGCAACATGGGGGGTTAAGGGGGTAGGAGAAGAGTAAATGAAACAAGATGGGATTGGGAGGGAGACAAACCACAAGTGACTCAATCTCACAAATCAAACTGAGGGTTAATGGGGGGAGGGGGGTTGGGAGGGGGGGTGGGATTATGGACATTGGGGAGGGTATGTGCTATGGTGAGTGCTGTGAAGTGTGTAAACCTGGCGATTCACAGACCTGTACCCCTGGGGATAAAAATATATTCTATGTTTATAAAAAATAAAATTAAAAAAAAATTTCTGAGTTGATTTGTTAAAGCTTCTCTTCTTAATTTTTTATACTGATTACTAAGATAATACTACTCAACTCTAAATCAGGTCTGCCATAATCCACTTCAAGACGCTGGAGCTAGGGGCCTTCAAATCAGATTGCTCCTTTGACATTTACCTCTTCTACCAGCTTCTGCCAATACTAGTGCTAATGGAAACTAGAAGACAGGGAGAGAAAAAGGATTTGTTTCTTCTTGCTTATCCTGTTTCTGCTAGTGTCATCCCAGCAATGATTTTGTAAGTCAGTAGTGGAAAGTGGGTCCAAGTTTCTTATTGCACCATTTTATTGCACCATCTAATTATTCTTGCTTTTTTTTTTTTTTAGATTTTTATTTATTATTTATTTAACAGACAGAGATCACAAGTGGGCAGAGAGGCAGGCAAAGAGAGAGTGGAAGGGAAGCTGAGTAGAGAGCCCAACGCAGGTCTTGATCTCAGGACCCCGGGATCATAATGTAAGCTGAAGGCAGAGGTTTAACCCACTGAGACACCCAGGTGCCCCCATCTAACTATTCTTATTGCACCATCTTCTCTTCCTTCCACTTGAATATTTAAGGATTGAGAAGAGCCTTTCCTTCAGAGTCCAGGTCCAAGATCCTGAGCGTCCCTTCTCTGAACTCAAGTCTCCTACATCTGCTGAGAAGCCTCCCTTCTCAAAGTCTAAGGTGCAATCTGAGGGGCTTCTCTTTCAGCCTTTTAGGTTCAAATAACTCCTTCCTCCTCCCAGTGTTCTTTCTCTGGATGGTTGTTACTTCTTGCAGTTACTAAGCATATACACTTTTTCAGTCCTTCAAGAGCTGATTAAATAAATATTCATATTACATTCTGTGCTAGAATTACTATTTCCTGTTTTCCTTCTTGTACCCCAACTTTTGTAACGACCTAAATATAGAAGTTGGTAGCCAAAGCCTGTGCTACCACCACAAAAATCTAAAGTATATCGTTTGCTGAGTGGTTGGGCAGTGGGTGGCAAAGAAACCAATTTCAAAAGTAGAAAGCCATCTATCTGATGTCCTGGCAAAACTCTTGGCAAAACTACAGTCTGAATTAACTTGAGAGGCAGACAGTGGGCCTGCTGGGCTGGAAACACTCAAAATAGATGGAAAAACAAAACTTAGTAATGTATGTTATCAATTACTGGCTACATTCAGCAAAGTGTTAAAAGAAGCTCAGGAACTAGTTTAAAAGCAGATCTGACTAGGAACAGAAAGACTATAGAAGTTTAAGGGTTTATTGGACAAAATGTCTGGCTTCTTCTCAACCCCAAATGATGGAATATGACTTTGCCAAGTGTTGAGTAACAAAGATACAGGAAAAATACAGATAACAAAGATACAGTAAAAACGTACATTTGTATAAAGTGACTCAAGGTATTTATGAGATTTAGAGCTGACACTGAGTAAAACTTTTCAGTTAAACAAAGTATCACTTTACAAAAATTGGGTTAAGGCTGTGGTCCTCCAGACTAATTTCCAAGATAATACCATCTTAAGAAAGAGGCATGAGAGAAGAGAAAGTCAAGGGCTTCCCAGAAAGAACTTTCTTAAGCACATGGACTATGAGGAAGCAAATCGATCAGAATCCTATGAAGATTTCTGAAAATTGTAGTACTCAAAGACCATGATCCCCAAAATACAAACCTTGAAATATTTAAGACTTAAAACAACTCTTGGTCCCACAATTTTCGCAAAATAGGAAAAAAATATTTTAAGGGTATACAACCCTCATTAGGAACTTTAAATATTGACAAGGAGAATAAAAGAAAATGAACTTTCCAGAGAGATATCCAGAGGCCAGAGAGAACAACTAACAAAGATCTCCCCAGGGAGCAGGGACAGAGCCTATTCAAAGATCCTTCCTGTTTAGCAGGATTTCACCTCTGATTTCCATGTGTATCTGATTCTTTTTCCAAGCATGAATGTTATTGTGGTTTCCCTTGTCCTACTTCTCTCCTATATATTGGGTATATATGGATGTTGGGAGCTGGTTGCAAAATGCAGATAATCTATTTGTAGTTGATTTGCTATCACCATCATTTGATGAGGACCATAAATAGCCAGTGCTCATGAACTTGAACTGAATCCAGTGACTGAAATACTTTTGTTATTTCTCTTGGAAAGTAATAATCCTTTTTCATGAGGGAGTGGAAACATTATCTAAATATTTGGCAACCAGAGGGAGGTCTATGGCAGAGAGGGACTGGGTGCTTTCTAATTCCATATGCTCTTCTTGGTTATATGGCTTACTAACATTTACCAGCCTCCCTTGCAGCTCAGATGGGGCCATGCAACTAAGTTTTGTCAACAGAAGAATATGCACACATTCAAGGCCGCTTCATATACCACATGTACAATCACTCCCAAAGTCTTTTCCTTTCCCTCAGGGACCTAAGAATCCATGTCCTTAGGAAGGCAGCATTAAAAGATGAAAAGAGTATGTATCTTTGAGTCATCATTTGACAGTGAAGGAGAACTGACTAAGACACATAGGCTATGATATAAGAAAGACATATTTCATTTTTCTATGTTGAGAATGTTGAAATTATGTTTCAATGACTAGAGGCTATCCACCTAGTATGGCATTGGATTTTAAAATATGAATTACTGGATTTATTAAATTGGTAACTTGATGAGTTTTCCTTCTCCTAAAAGTATCTGGATGAGAAGAAAATGTCATCAAGAAAGTGAGGCAGCACGGTGTAGTAAAATAAAACCTCACCTTGAGAAACCTGGCTTCTAGCAATCTTTTTATCATTTCCTAGCTAAGTGACACGGGGAAAGTCAATTAATTTCTCTGGGCCATAGTTCACATCTGGAAAATTATGTTAATATTAGGTTACCCAATTATAGGAGAAAACCAGGCCAAATGTTTACTCAAGAATTTTTATGGTTTTGATCTATGGTTCTATGAAATAGAAATTAAGCACTAAAGTCATCCTAATAAAAGCACGGAAATAATTATTTTTATCTTAAAATTTTTACCCTTTGTACGATACCTGACAAAGTCCAGCTTTATGTATAAACATTGTGTAACACATTTTTTAAATGGTGTTAACTCATGTCATGCAATTTTATTGAAAATAATAATTTACAAAAGATCATGTTAGAGTGAGATAAACCAATGCAGATAATTCCAAAAAATTTATTCATCAGAACTTTGACTATTTCATGACATTACACACATTTCTTCATACTGTCAGCCCTCTCTTCACAATCTAAGATGATGGAATTTAAGGAAGATCTCACTTCTATCTTGTCAACTGAATGCCCACTCCTTCAGGTGGTTTCTCTTAATATTCACTCAATACTGTTTACTCGAGATCATTATTTCTATTTAAAATAGTGGGACTTAGCAAATAATTCTAGAGTAAAAATTAAACCTAAAATCATTGCTTATATCTAATTATATGTTCATCAACAGGCTAATGAAAACACTTGTGTTCATACAAAATGGCAAAACAATAATTAAAATATATCTAACATGTCAATTTAAAACTTACAGACTGAGTGGAATTTTTCTTCTTTAAATCAAAATGAAGAATGTTGCAGCCAAATCTAAACAAAATGCATAAAACCCCTTTTGCTAACGAGTTCTCTCTTCCTAATCACTGGGAAACAATGGCTAGCTGCAGCTGGCTATTTAAGTTAAGCAGAAAACAAAATATGGAAGAGTGTATTATTGATTCGGTCTTCAAATTATTTTTGTCATTACTTAATTCACAAATTTGTATAAAATTTTAATTTTAATACTCTTTTCAGAGATTTTTAGAATGTATATAGGAAAACACAGAAGTCTTGATTCTGGTTTTTCATTAATTTTGGATAACTCTGTACTCATTTTTCTCCACTGATTCCATTACACAAATGTAGATTGCAAAATATGAACTTTAAGTAACTCTTTAAGGTCACTAACATAATGGAGGGGCAAGGCTCAAAGAAATACAAAGAAAAAGAAACTGTTGTTTTATCTGAATTAAGCTCTAACAGTATATGACATTAAACATTTTTATTAATATAAATTATCTATATGAACAATATAATACAAATGTAAATATTACTGTAAACAAGAATAATGTTTACATAAAAGTTATCCCTTTCCACATTTCCTTAGCATTCCATTTACACACAAGCCATTTTGAAGAAAAATAACTTTTCACTCACCAATGTGGAGGTTTGTGAGGCATCAGCCAAATCCCCTGAGATCTCAGGCGTTCGCGTGTTGTTTGGAATTCTGTGAGGGTTACGGGCTATCGCTTCACACCAGCCCAGCATTTTCTCCTTCCTCTTATCCCTTTTCAATTTCTGAAATTCTGAAAATAATTTACATTCCCTGAAACAGGTCACTTATTTTGGTTGTGTTTTTGGAAAATGTACATAATTGAAATTAAATAAGCAATTTAATGACATACCAATGGAGACATTTTAATTTAGTCAGAAGTTATGGGGAAGAAAAGAATATGCTGATTTTTAATACCATTCCAAAGATAGTAGGAAATGAAAACAGTACATATCTATTCAAAGAGCCTAACATCTTTTACACATCAATCTGTGACACTTCTAGACTGTTGGAATTCCTTGAATCAGGTTCTAAGTGTTATTTTCAAGAATCACGTTATAACATGAATTCTTACCTTGGGAGCTAAAAACAATTCCATTTTCTGATATATCTACATATTCCAATGACATATAAAATTAGGCAGAGCTTTTCAGATGAATGCTCTACAGACACAAAATAAATTGAACACCAGTCAGTGATAAAGATTATTCATTCTGGCAGTGGCATGATTATCTCCCTCATAAAGTTCTGCCAACTGAAGAAGGAGAAATTTTAGTACAAACATGGTAAGGGTAGTATATGACGTACATCACCCCATCACCAGTACATTTTATTAATTTAAAAAATTCCCCTACTATATCCTGAGTAAAAGTATTCTACAACTCTTCCTAGCTTTCCAGAATTTTCCATTGGGGAAGTTTTTGTTTTTGTTTTTGTTTTTCATCTCTGAAAAAGTATTATCAACAATGACTTTTTAGAGTAATGGAGAAGACATTGTTTCCCTTGTAAACCTTTACAGCCTACTTTTCCACTCCACCACCCTCAGTAATTAGAAATAGTTTATTGCAGGTCTTTAGTTAAATGCATTACACTGTCAATTAAATATCAAAAATAATGTGGAGTAATTATTTTTCACAGCATCCAAAGCAATTAGCAATCTGGTGGTTTATAACATTTCAGTGATTCAAAATAGCACATTTCATAGCACTAAGAAAAGTAACATAAAGAAAGGTTGCACTAACAGATTGATGAGTTATTACTTTAAATGACAAAATACTCGAGTTAAATGGATCTGAATAATGTAAATAGGGAAATTATAAAAAAATACACACACACACACACAAAACTTAGGGTGGGCAGTTCAAGATGGCAGCATAGGAAGACTCTAAATTTACCTCCTCCCATAGACACACCAAATCTACAGTTACATATAGAAAATTCTCTCTGAAAAAAACAAATGTGAAAACAAGCTGAACAGCTCCTCCACAACAAGGTATAAAAGGGATAAACTGAGATGGGTAGGAGATGCAGAGACATGGTCTTGCCATAAACCCTGCCCCCAGTGTGGACACCCACAAGTGGAAGGGATCTCACAAATAAAAAGCATATTCCTGAGAAGCAAAGGGCACAAGCCCCATATCAGGGTCTCCAACCCTTAGGACTTGCACCAGAGATACAAATCCCCAAAGTCTGGTTTGAAAACCAAAGTCTTATATCCAGGAGACCCAAAGGGCCATAGGAAACTGAGATTTCTAACTTAAAGTGTTTGCACAGTTTCATTTGCCCTGGGACCCAACATGAAAGCAATAGTTTGAAAAATGGTTAACAATAGATGAAGAAGATTCACTGCCTACTCTTAAAGCATCTCTGGAGGGTCAGAGGCCTATTGGAACTCTCTCCAGAAGCAAAGGTGTTGGTGGGTGTAATTTTTGCACTCTCCCTCTACCTTGTCATCACTGACTGCACTGACCCTCAACCCTGACTTGCTAAAACCAGCAGGTGGGCATGCCCCAGCCTGGTGCTTCCTCATAGCCCTGCCCTGCTAAAACGCAAAGGGCAGACTCCCTTATGCCCCATTAAAGGCAACAGGTGCAGGTAGTCCTTTCAGAGCCTGTCACTTGAACACCTGGTTCTGGTGGCCATGGAAGCTTGCATTTCTGGTCTCCATGGAACTGAAACGATCAAAGACAGTTCCGTGAAGGCTCTAACCCCAAGGTACTGAAATACCTGCCATCTTTCTGTGACCACTTCTTTAAGACAGAGAGAGATAGTCATTTTGTCTAATACACAGAAATAGAGAGAGCCAAGCAAAGTAAGGAAACAGAAGAATAAGTTCCAAATGAAAGAAGAAAATAAAACCACAGAAAAAAAGTTAATGAAATGGAGATAAGTAATTTCCTTAATAAAGACTTCAAAGTAATGGTCATAAAAATACTTACCAATCTCAGAAGAAGAATGATGAAAGGAATGAGAAATCCCACAAGGAGATAAATATATATATATGTGAGAGAACCAAGCAGAAGATACAGACATGAAGAATAAAATAACTGAACTGAAAAATACACGAGAGTGGTTCAACAGCAGACCACCTGATGCAGAAGAAAAGATCAGTGACCTGGAAGACAAAGGCAATAGAACTCACCCAAACACAGCACAAAAAGAACAAAAAAGTTCAAAAAGTGAAAACAGCTTAAAGGGTCTATACAAAGTATCTTAAAAACGTTAAGAAGAACGAGATCTGCATTATGGGGCTTATAGAAACAATTAAAGAATACCTTGAGATGAATGAAAATAAAAATTCAACATACCAAAATCTGGGTTGTAGCACAAGTAGTTCTAAGAGGGAAGTTCAGGCCTACCTCAAGAAACAAGAAAATTCTCAAATAAACCATCTAACTTTATACCTAAATGAATAATAAAAAGGGGAACAAATGATGCCCAAAGTTAGTAGAATTAAGGAAATAAAGACTAGACCAGAAATAAATGAAATAAAGACTAAAAAGACAACAGAAAAGATCGATGAAACCAAGAGCTGTTTATCAACAAAACCTATAAACTTCAGCTAGATTAACTAAGAAAAAAAGGAAGGGGAGTCATATAAATAAAATCAGAAATGAAAGAGAAGTTACAACTGATCCTGAAGAAATACAAAGGATCATAAGAGACTACTATGAAAAATTATATGCCAACAAATTGGATAACATAGAAGACAGACATAATCCCAGAAACATAGAATCTTCTAAGGCAAAATCATAAAGAAATAGAAAATCTGAATAGAACAATCACCAGCAAGGAGATTAAATCAAAAACTTCTCCTCAAACAAAAGTCCAGGACCAGATGGCCTCAGCAGTGAATTCTACCAAACATTCAAAGATTTAGTACCTATCCTTCTCCAACTCTCCAAAAAAATCAAGGAAGAGGGAATCCTTCTAAACTCATTTCACAAGGCCAGCATTACCCTGCTACCAAAATTAGAGAAAGACACCAAACACACACACACACACACACACACACACACACACACAGAGAGAGAGAGAGAGAGAGAGAGAGTAGACCAATATCCCTGATGAACACAGATGTAAAATTTCTTAACACAATATTAACAAATCAAATTCAACAATATATTAATAAGATCATACACCAAGATCAAGTGAGATTTATCCAGGGATGCAAAGATGGTTCAACATCTACAGATCAATCAATATCCTACACCACATTAACAAAATGAAGGATGAAAGTCACATATGATAATATCAGAAACAACATTTGAGAAAAATTCAATATCCATGTCTGATAAAAACTCAACAAAACATGTATAGAGAAAATATACATCAACATTATAAAGGCTATATATAACAAGCCAAAACTAACATCATACTCAGAAGTGAAAAGATTTTAGCTTTTCTTCTATGATCAGGAGTATCACAAGGACACCCACTCCTACCACTTTTATTCAACATAGTATTAAAAATCCTAATCAGAGCAATTAGGCAAGACAAAGAAATAAAATACATCCAAATCAGAAAGAAAGAAGTAAAATTGTCACTATTTGTAGGTGGGATGATTTTATATAGAAAACTCTTAAGACTGAACCAAAAGTCTTTGAACTAATAACAAAATTTGGCAAAGTTGCAACATATAAAATCAATACACAAAAATCTGCTGTTTTGTCCTCTTACAACAAACTAGCAAAAAAGAAAAATTAAGGTAACTATCCCATTTACAACTGCATCAGAAAGAATGCAATATGATCTAGGAATAAATTTAACCAAGGAGGTAAAAGACCTGTACACTGAAAATATGAGACACTGATGAAAGAAACTGAAGAAAACACAAATAAATGGAAAGATATTCAATGCTCATGATTTGGAAGAATTAAGACTGTTAAAAATGTCTGTGTTACCCGAAGAAATGTATAGATTCAATGCAGCCTCTAGCAAAATTCCCATGGCATTTTTAATAGAAATTGAACAAACAATAATAAAATGTGTATGGAACAACAAAATATTCCAAATAGCCAAAACAATCTTGAGAAAGAAGAACAAAGCTAGAGGCAACATGTTCCTTGCTTTCAAAATTCATTACAAAGCTGGGGCGCCTGGGTGGCTCAGTGGGTTAAGCCTCTGCCTTCGGCTCAGGTCATGATCCCAGAATCCTGGGATCGAGCCCCGCATCGGGTTCTCTGCTCGGCAGGGAACCTGCTTCCCCCTCTCTCTCTGCCTGCTTCTCTGCCTGCTTGTGATCTCTCTCTCCCTCTGTCAAATAAATAAATAAAATCTTTAAAAAAAATTTATTACAAAGTTACAGTAATTGAACAGCCTGGTATGGCATAAAAACAGATACAGAAATCAATGGAACAGAATATAGAGCCCAGAAATAAGCCAATGCATATATACTCAATTAACTTATGACAAATGGGACAAGAATATACAATGGAGAAAGGATAATGTGTACAATAAATGGTGATGGGAAAACTGATAGCCACACATAAAGAATGAAATGGGACCAATATCTTATACCATACACAAAAATTAACTCAAAATAGATTAAAGGATCAAATGTAAGATCTGAAACCATAGAACTCTTAGAAGAAAACATAGGCAGTAAGCTCAAGACATCACTTTTGGTGATATATTTTTGAATCTGACTTCAAAGGTAATGGTAACAAAAGCAAAAATAAACAATTGGGACCACATCAAAATGAAAAGCTGCACC